GCTGCAGTACCAAGGTGAGTCCCCGCGGTGCTGCTGGGGCTGCGGATTGTCCCGGCTTGGGCGCTGGCCGTGCTCACTCCTCCCTGTCCGCCCCTAGAGCTGATGCCGCCGGGGAGCTGCCTGCCTGAGGAAACCAAGCCCAAGAGGGGACGGCGGTCATGGCCTCGGAAAAGGACGGCCACACACACCTGTGACTATGCGGGCTGCGGCAAAACCTACACCAAGAGCTCTCATCTCAAGGCGCATCTGAGAACCCACACAGGTTAGTCCTCCCAGCGCCGGGGTCAGGGGGATGTCCTGGCCTGAGGGGCACGGGATATGACCCCCTCACACAGTGGAAGGGTTAAAAGCACCAAGGCTTTTCCTTGCTGGGTTTCCGGGCTTTTTTTTTTCCTCCCCCCTTGGCTACGTGAAGTCCTGAGCAGTCTTCACTTATTGGCTTGACATTTTACTTAATGGTTCAGAGTGACTCAGATGTGGGAGCGGGTGGGTTTCTTGCCAAGTCAGAGTTTGTTCCTTCTCTCTTGCTGTGTGGCTAGCTAATTAGCAGGTAGCTGGAAGCCGGCAGGGATTTGTTGCTCCGATTGTGTTTGCCCACTTCTGAGAAGACAGCAGCCCTCTCTCGAAGATAACTATTTTCGTTGCTGGTGAAGTGCTTTGCACATGCACCCGTGTCTTGGTTGGCTGTAGGGCAAGAGGTTGTGCACCTCTACAAGTTGTTGCTTCCTTTTTGGGAAAACCGAGATAGATTCCCTGTAGAGCAGGGCTTTTTTCAGCTGAGCTGGTAGCACCAATGGGGTGCCTTGTCCACCATCTCCCCCTGCACCAGCAGAGTTTAATTGTCGATTGTCCAGTGCTAGAATTGGGATAAAATCTTCCCAAAGTGTGTGTGTGTGTGTGCCCAGTCTCTAACTTTGCAGCTGAGTGCAGAGTTGCAGTAACTGAGCTTGTGAAAGCAGGTACAGCACGCAGGTTTCGCCAGCGTGGGCATTCCGCAACAGTGACTAAATAACCTGGGAATTTGCATAATTTGAATCCCTGGGTTGTGAACCTGATTCAAAACTTTCTCCTGAAGGGGAGATGGGAAAGGGAAAACACACTGGTGCGGCAGTAGTTAAGCTATGTCTTCGGGTAATGGCAGAAAGGGGAAAAAAATTGAGCAAGTGAGCAGTGAAAATCTGCCTCAAGCCAGTCAGCACCATCCCCAGGATGTGTAGGACAGGGAGTTTATAATTGTTGGGGAAGCTCATCTTGCTATCGACAGTAGTTTTTGTATAATGAAGACACTAGTAAGACTGAGTCCTTAATCAGGCCGAGTTAATGAAAACAGTTTCCGGCTGTTTTTTTATTCTTGAGACCTACAATTATCTAAATACATTGTCTGCTGAGCTATTTCTGGTTGCTATTTTGATTGTGTAACACCGCCAGCAAAAATACACACTCAGGTGCTCTGAAGCCTGGTGTGCAAGGCAGTGAAAAAGAGCATTTTAGTGAAGATTTAAGTGACACTAGCATTTCATAGCACCTTGAAAAGATGTACATCTTGAAAAGACAGCCTTGCTGTTTCAGTCTTTTAGTCTTTGTAGTTTGTTTGCAGCTGCTTCATGAAATTCATTGCTTTTGACCACTCTTTGATTTATCTAGGACTGCTTGAAAGAAGGTGCTGCAAATGGTAGCCACAAAAAAACCCAAAAAATCCTGTGTTTCACTGCTTGCTTTTTGGGGTTTTTTTTTTCACAGGTGAGAAGCCTTATCACTGTGACTGGGAAGGCTGCGGGTGGAAGTTTGCCCGGTCCGATGAACTCACCCGTCACTACAGAAAACACACGGGCCACCGCCCTTTCCAGTGCCAGCGCTGTGACAGAGCCTTCTCCAGGTCGGACCACCTCGCCCTACACATGAAGAGGCACTTCTGATTTGGGAAAGCAGTGGATCTTTCCCTCGACTGCCGCAGAGATTCAGTATTTACAGCACAAGGACTGTCTTCCACAAGACGGGGAGAACTCATTTTAAGCACTACAGATAATCGAGGTGAAGTCTTCCAAAGAGTGGAAAAGAGGGATAACTGCATATGGACATTGCAACTTTCTTTTTTTTTTATAGTTATACACTTAAGAGAACCAAAGACATTGGGGGTCAGTGACTGGATCTTCTATCATTCCATTTGTAAATCCAACTTGAATTATTTCTGGACTACAGACTGCCAAGGAGTGACTGGAAGTCACGGATATCAGGGTTAAACAGACTGTATGTAGTTCGGAGGGTGGGGATATTACACAGGGAAATTACATTCCCTTAATTTCCTTTCAATGCAATATTAGATGTACATGTCGTCTTGTACTTTCTTTTTTTTTTTCTTTTTCCTTCTAAAAGCCATTACAATGTTAAAAGAGGAGGAAAAATTCAGGTACAGAATTATATTTTAAAAGCCTATTTCATGGTGCTTAGTGACTGTTGGTTCTAGAGGTACCAAAAACAGGAAGCCAAAGTTCTCAAACTGCTGCATATCTGACAAGGAACTATTTTTTATCTTCCGATTGCCAATTATGACCTAAATCAGGTGAATAACCCTGGTTTATCTTTTTTATTAAGAAAATAACTTTATGCAGACAGTCTGTAATGCACTGTGGTTTCGATGTGCAATAGTTTGTACAATGGTTTATTCCCAAATATGCCTTAAGCAGAACAAATGTTTTCTATATAGTTCTTTACATAATAAATATGTAATATAAATTTAAGCAAACTTCTATTTTGTATATTTGTAAACTACGAAGTAATAATGAACATTTTGTTGGAATTTGTATTTTGCATATTCAAGGTGAAAATAAGTTTTAAATAAACCTATAATATTTTATCTGAACGGTTGCTCTAGTTTTTTTCTGTGTATGGACATGGCCAAAGGAAGTTTGTTAGGTATTTGTTGGTGGTTGAGTTTACCAAGGCAAGGAGGGAGTGGTGGCAAAATGCTTGTAGTCTCAAGACTCTGAAAGACAGGATTGTGTAAGTGCAGTGCTGATGTAACATCTCTTTTTAGGGAAAAAGGTGTATGGAAAGTTTTTGCTCTAGATGTCGAGTTGCTGCTTATCTCACCTGTATGGGTAAAACTGTAATTTATGATTTTTAAAGTAACTCAGTTTAAATGATTTTTTAGAGGACAGTTTTGTTGAGGACATAAGACCTTGTGCATCTGATGATAACAAATCCTAGAATTATTTTCATTTTTTTAGCAGCCTTTTCAGCAATTAAGGATTCCCATCTTCATTGCCTTGGATTTCTTAGGCAAGCTGGTGTACCCACCTCAGTGTGAGCGAAGGAAAACCCACTCAGTAATGTCGGGCAAAGAATTAAACCCGGCTCGGAGAATAAAGGCTGCGCACACAAAACTCCGCTTAATCACCCGCACGGAGTTCTCTCTTGAAACCTGCTGTGTCCTGGGAGCCCAGTCACTCCACGAGGAGCCAGGATTCCTGCAGGAATGCACGCGTATCCGGGGAAGGCTGACCATGGACGCGTGGCTGCGAGGTCCCCAACGCGTGCGGCGCCGCAGCTCTGGGGGCGGCGAGCCCGCCCCGGGTCACCGCCAGCCCCGCGGTGCTTCTCCTTCGGGACCTCGCTGTTCCAGCTGCCTCGCAGGAACGCGCGGCAAACAGATGATTTCCACATTAGTGCCTGGGTGAACGGGATCTGGTTTTCTCGCTGCTCTTCGGATAAAAGGGAAGAAGCGATTCCTCTTCAGCTGATTCGTAATGTCTGTCAGATAGGAATTTGGGTGTATGTGGTGCACAATAAAGCTGAGGGGGAAAAAAACCAGCACGCATGAGGCTTTTGTATCTTTGTAGTAGTTAAAACAAAAGTGTAAATATCAACTTTTTATGCCCTAATGTGCCTTTGGAATGCTACTAAAGTCCAAATTTCCATGTGGTGTTTGTGTAGGGACCGTTGCCATTTCTCCCTCAGTTCGTGTAAGTAATATAATGATGCAGAAAACATTTCTCACCCCTTATCGCCTAGGCATGCTTCGTTTAACTGAAAGCTATCTTTGGTGATTTGTTTTATAGGTAACACAGGGAGTAGGGAATGTCTTGTTTGGTTTGCAAATAGCAGGCATTTAAAGCTAAATTAAAGTTATGAGTCATCCTTTATCTGAAGCTTTTTCCATGTGAAAACTTTTTTACAATTAAACCAAGCTTTTTTTTTACCTCCTCTGTTGCTCTGCCTGTGAATTCTGGATGAGAGATCCAAGGTCAGCATTGAAACTGGCATGTGCTGAGGGCCTGAAATGTCATTGTCCCATCCGATAATGCTGGAGTACACTTGGTAGGTGTGGGATCTCCTTTGTATGGCTGCCATTCAAAACTTCTTACATAGGTGCAAGATCTATGTTCTAGCACATCTGTGAGTACAGAAATCTGAATATTTCATCTGAGAAACTGGTTTCTTTTGCTTTTCAAGCATTCTGTCATTATACACCCTTAAGAATTTTGTAAGGCACTGTAGCACTTAGTAAGGCATTATCTGTACAGCAAGCTTCAGTTTTTGCTTGATGTTTTTATGGACCCTAGGTTTCTAGTTGCATGAACAATGGCATTCTTGAAACAGAGCATTGTTCCCTATTCCACTTGAATTTTTTTTTTAATTCCTTTTTTTTTCTCCCTGATCCTAACCAAGCTGTCTTCACGTATGAATTTCCAGACTGAAAAAGACAGGACTGTAACTTTGTATTTAAAAGGAAATGCTGCTGTGTCTTTAACCATTTCAAAATTGCTGCTCCTATACTTTTTTGGGAGGACAGGAGCCAACTGCTCACTTTTTGCCATACAGCATTCAACACATGAGAGGCAGTCCTTACTCTTAAGGAGGTCTCTAGGGGAAATGCTGAAATGGGCAATGCTCTGGTAAGTAGAGATGGAAACAGCACGTTGTGTTTGCCACCTGTTTCGTCGTGTCTGCGATCCTGGAGTTGCACTTAGGTGCAGGATTGCACATGGATGCAGTGAAACAACACATGTATCAAAAAGCGTATCTCATAAAAACATATGTAAAACACCGAGAAGTCTTGTAAGTATGTCTTGAAAAACAAGATTTGTTTAGCGTTGCTAAAGCTGTACATGTGCCACTTTGCTGGGGCATCTAGAAGTCAGGGTTTGAGGTTATTAGGGGTGGCCTCTCTGACATGGGGTGAGCACCTCCAGAGCTGCCCCAGAGCACTATTTCAGCTACTGAAGGCAAAATCTCTTGCGGCAGGGAGTTATCTCTGCAGTCAAACTACAGCCGTCCTTAATCCTGCTCACCCCTAGCCCAAATCTCTCTCTGGAGCGCGCTTAGCATGTAGAGATGGAGCTGCTTAAAACAAGATGGCACATGCCTGCCTGCCGAGTGCCAAGTATTCAAAAGTAGCACCAGAGCAAAAATCTTCTCAGAGCCACAGCTGCCATGCACTTGTCTGCTGCACACCATGGCCTGGGAGCCTGGCTTTGACTGTGGCCCAGAACAAGTGGCTTCAGCCACCCCCTGTCACACGGAGGGCTCCTTGCAAGGGAGTTTTCTCATCCCTCGTGGTGGCTACCAGATCCTGCTGCAGCTGAACTCAACAGCGAATCTCACAAGGATTTATATTAAGCTGATATGAATCAGTGAATTTCATTCTCCTTCTCTTTAATAAGGGAAGATCAGAGAGTGCTGCGGTTAATCACCCCGAGTGCTAACGGTTCGACAGAATTAGTTTACACAGGTTTCCTATGGGAGTGTGCTGGATCTTGGAGCTAGCCTGCTTTCACTGGAGTCCCTGGCAGGCACTTTTAACAGCATTTGAGTGCAAGAATTTCCAAATTAACCTGTGTCTGTCCCTGGGCTTTCCTCCTCTCAGTGCAATTGGGTCACGTGCTCAAGGGCAGCAGGAGAATAGGAATGGTTGGCAAGCTGGGGACAGAGAGAAAAAAGGTTACAGCACTCGAGTAGGACTTGGGCAGGGATCTGGATGTTGTAGAAGAGCTGGTAGGAGGAAGTTAACTCAAGGTATGGTGAGCTAAACTGATAACGGAGAGGAAGAGGAACACCACCAGAACCACCAGCGGCACCGCCATGTGTTGACTCAGGCTTGCCAGGAGAGCACTCCAGATTAAACATCTGCATTTAGGCTCGGTGGATGTATCTCTGGACACAAAGATGAGTGTGTACTTAAAAGAGGGGGAAGGCCCATCATTCACCGAAATTTAATTGAGGTCACATTGGCTTGGAGCCACAGGGGAACACACCCACATTCCCCTGTCTGCCGTACACCTGGATGACTCACGTTCCGTCTGCCCTTCGCTCTTGCCGTGACTTTACCAGGGGAACATTTTCATTACTGCTGAAGGCATTGCCACTGAGCGCAGAAATTGTCTCTGCGGCATGGAAGTGGGTGGTGGTGGTGGATCTGCAGCCTTGTTCTCCACCCTGGATGCATATAGGTATCTGCTAGTCTCTTTTTCACCTTTGGATGCATTACCTGCGAGCCCTCGAGGCTTGAACCTTAATGGTGTGAAAGACGGGAGGGGAAAAAGTGGCTTGTGCTTTATTAATGTTTATTCTATATTTAGAGCGTGTGTTCCCAGAGATTTACAGGAGACAGGCAGCCCTAATAGCTGCTCACAAGAGGCATTAGACAGCTGCACCTTTTCCCTTCAGTAATGTTTTCCGTACTCTTGGAGCTGTGACTTCTTTTGTAACCAAGATGGTGATTTTCACACAGACCTGGCTAGCTTGGGGTCAACCTCATGACTTGCTAATTAAGAAGAAGAAGTTTTAGGGAACACGGGAACACGCTAAGCTGCTTTCACTGTGAAACCTGGGTGAGCAGAAGGGTAATCATGTGCTGCTATCACCGCAGCCATCTTGCTGCAACCCTGAAAAGTTTTGCATGGTTTTGCTTTGGGTACAGCGTGCTTGTTTATCAAGCACAAGCTAAGGCTTGCTTAAATCTTGCCATTCAAGTTCTCCACTGTTAAGCTTTCAGGCTTTATTCAACAAAATAATCCAGCTTCCCTATGTTATTTGGTTTAAGGCCTTTAATTTTAAGGAGAGATATCCCACAGTTATCCAGAATGATTTAGCCCACTACTGCTGCAGCAGTTAGGAAAGATCTGACAGGAAATCCATGCCACCAGCACAAAGGGGTTTCTTTACCGGGAGCCTCCTCGATGGTGCTCAGAGTCTGTTTGTGCACGTCCCAGTGTCACAGAATCACAGAGTCGCAGAATCACAGAATAAGCTGAGTTGAAAGAGACCCTCAAGGATCATCAAGTCCAACTTCTGGCCCCGCACAGAACCATCCCCGAGTCCCACCATGTGCCCAAAAGCATTGTCCAAATGCCTCTTGAACTCTGTAGGCTTGGTGCCATGCCCATTTCCTGGGGAGCCTTTTCCAGTGGCCAACCATCCACTGGGGGAGGATCCTTCTCCTAATATCCAACCTCAACCTTTCCTGACACAACTTCGGGCCATTCCCTGGTCCCCACAGAGCACAGATCAGTGCCTGCCCCTCCTGTTCCCCTCATGAGGAAGCTGCAGAGCTGCTCTGAGGCCTCTCCTCACTCTCCTCCTTCTCAACTGACCCAGCGCCCTCAGCTGCTCCTCATGGAGCTTCCCCTCAAGGCCCTGCACCATCCCCATGGCCTCCTCTGCACTCTCTGACAGTTTAATGCCTCTTTAACCCTGTGGTGCCCAGAACTGTACCAATATTCCAGGTGAGGCCTCCCCGGCCCAGCGCAGAGCAGGACAATCCCTGCCTGGCCCGGCCGGCCATGCTGGGCCTGGTGTCCCCAGGACAGGGATGTCCCTGCTGGCTCCAGCTCCCACTGCTGGCTCATGTCTGTG